CTGGCCTTTCCACCACAGAGAACAACTGTCACAGTTTTATTTGGCATATTTCTGTAATACCACTGAGCAAAACTCTTGCTCATTCATAGCAGCCTACAGGTGGCTGCTGAGTAGTAACAGGCCCACGCATCATCAGTGGTCAAATGTAACACTGAAGCTCAGAGTCATGCCAGAAAACAAATCTGAAAAAGCACAGCCACCTTCTTGTCCTTTCCTCTCACGCCCAAGCCATCTCGAGCAAAGTGCTAATCAGAGCTCTGCTCACTCCAAGTGCGTGTCAGATTCCTCCTTGCTGCTCCCCAACAGCTACCCCATCCCCACACCCTGCTGTGCATCTCGAACACCTGGCAGGCAATTGCTGGTTTACATAATTAGTTTGTAATCTCCACCAGTTACATTATCACCAGCTCTGCCTACAAATCCAGGCCCTCCCACCTCCTGCAATTAGCAAGTTCTTACTTAATCCTTTCTAGTGTGGAGTTGGGAAACATAATTTCTACATAGAAATTAACACTTTCTGAAACAGTTTTCAGTTGGTTACAGCCAGGTTGTTTTTCCAAATGAGAGAACACAAATCCCGGGAATTCTCCAAGCGTGAGATGAAATCCTGCACTCTCCTTAGCAGCCAAGCGGCTCTGCCACTTCAGGCAGGGGTGCACCCTCTTCCACACATGCATTACAATGCCTAGGTCTTAATAATCCAATTGTAAAAGGTTATGTAAATTAAAATTAGATTACATGAAATGTCCTTGTTAACCGGTTTGTAATAGATCTGTACAACACAGAATCCCAAGGACATTCCATTTGCCCCAGTAAAATCCATAAGTGATGTGATTAAATAAAGATGGGATGATTCTGCTCGTCATTAAAACACTTGGGAGGTTTGCAAAGATGTTTCTTCTACCTAAATCCCTGTAAAGTAAGCATATGAGTCATAAACAAGTTCAGTGGGTGCAATAACAGCAAGCAGAGTTATACAACATCCCCAAAAAAACCCTGAGGTACAGATTGAGCAAACAGGCTTGTTTTGCCTAAGAAGAATGACAGTGCATGTAAGTCATCAAGTGTGTGACAGCCTGGTGAAAAGAGATAGGAACAGTCTGTCTCAGAGTACACAGAGCAGAGGGCTTCAGATGCAGAAAATAAAGATTCATCTTCTGGAAAAAGCAAATAAAAAACCCTCCACTTTTGCAGGGAAAAAGTAGTGAAAGACAGGTGAAGAAATTCAGAAGCTTCACAAGTTGTTTAAAGGAGTTCCCCATTATGTTCATATAAGTCCAGAATTCTGCTCTGAATACCTTGATCACTACCAGAATAAAAGTTTGTGGTGAAATCAAAACTTGAGCTGTTTCCTCACATTCTAGCCCAAGTTAAATAACTTAATCATTCCTCAGAGATGGACACATCCACTTCTTGCTGAAATAATCCAAAGGGCGATTTCTGCCCTAAAAGCCAAGCAGGACCAGAAACCATCTGAGATCAGCAAGCCTAAATTCCTTTTTCCTTCTGATTTATTTCCTATCCTATCATCTCAAATACCTTTCTCCAAACTTACTTTAGATATCTTTATGGGTAATTTCCAGATTTTAGAAGTACTTCAACTTTCTGAATTATTCTCAATATTGTTCATGGATCTCCTAGCTAAATGATTGTTTACCCGGTGATTACTGTTAGCTTGTCTTAAACATTTAGAAAATGGATATTGAAAATAAAAAGTCACAGGTCTGAATCCAAGAAAAGCATTGGCATACAATTCACCTGTTATTTAAATGCCCCTAAGAGTTCCCTTTACACACAGTTTCTAAACTGCACAAAACTAAGACAAAAGAAAACCTTTTACTTCCATGCACAACTAGCCAGACATATCTTTAGTATCTGTCTTCCTCTTCTATCCTTGCCAAAACCACTTAGAGAAAACATGCATAGAGAAATCTATATTTAAAACTGTGAGACTTTTCTGCTAAGCCTATTAACTTGTGATTTTAAGGATACTTCCTCATTTCATAAGGATAGGAGGGAAAATAGAGTCTGATATTGCAGAATCAATAACAGAGATTGGAAAGCTATCACCATCATACTTCCAGTACAAAACATGAAGAACATGACAATAGTGACATCTTTGTTTTACTGAGCTACATCTATCAACTGTCCGGAAAATATGGGAAAACCTGATCACAGCCTTGGACAGAAAATTCCTGAAACCTTTTCCACCCATGGCTGGGGAGTGCTGACACTGACCTGGGGGCCAGTTCTGAAATCCAGTAGCACTTGTCCAAACAAACAGTGCATGCTCACTGGGGCTCCTGGGCACACAAACTGTTAATATTACACCCCTGATACAGATTTCTCATTTGTTCATCTACTTAACCAAGCTCATGATACTTGAGCTGAATCAGCTTTCAGCCATGCCACAAACTTCCACCAATGTTTGTAGTTTAATGGAATAAAATATCACAGCATTACTTGCTGAATCATTAATACAATATAAAATTTCTTTTACTTCTAGAAGATGACAAAAGCACTGTGGCTCCCTACATCAATTTCACTTCACTGAAGTACACAACAATTCTATCAACACGGCCTTTGTTTCAGTCTTTGTGATTATTTTTTTCTTGTTTCGATGTACTTAGGACCTGAATAAAATGAACATGACACACAATATTTATTTTTCTGCCTCTGGGCTTGTGCAGCTGAACCTGAACAGATCCAGAGGACACAAGCTGTCCTCTGTGCTGGCCAGTACTCGGGCCCCAGTCTGGTTAACCAAAGAGCCAGTTAGTGGACTGGAAAATCAGAATTAGTTCATAAATACCTTCTGAGGTATTGGATATGGGGTTTTAATTTAGAGAGAAGTGATCAGTTGGACCAAGAACTGTATATTGATAGATGCAGAAATATTCCTAAAATCACAGTACCACAGTAAAAATATTGGTTCCTTCACTTACATGTAAGTTGTAGAAACCTCTAAAATAATAATTTTCTCATACGTCACAGAATTGTTCACAGTGACTACAGAGGTATTACAACATTTTCATTAGATTTTTATTTTATTCTAATACATTTTCCATATGACCAAATTTTAATATTTTCTTATGCACAAGAGTCTAACATCCTATAAACATATCTCTAGCAATTTTAAAATCAATTTTTCAATTAAAGCCTTCTTCTGAAAAACATTAAATTCATGCATACGAATGAGGGTGAGATATGGACATGGAGGGCTAACCCTGCCAGGTACTGACTTCAGCAGGGACTTTGCCACTACAGTGCTGCTTTCAAGAGAAATTTAAGAGAAAAATTGTTTTTAATATTTCAAGTCTATTTGCCTAAAAGCTTTTGACATTTTTGTGATAAATTTCAGAATAAGGCCTTACGTGTACATTCAGAGACAGGTAACAAATTCTTCCATTGTGACATATAACTCATCTGATTAGAGGCAATAAAAGAGAGAAAATGATTCAATGCTTTGGTATATGATTATTCTGTGCAGATAAAGCCACATGTTCTCCCTTCTCTACCTTCACTGTGGAAACTTCATGTAGTCCTGCTTCTGCAACTTTGTTTGGTTGTGTTTAGGTTAAATCTGAGTCAAACTGTGCCATTCTTTAGTGAAGCAAAACAAAATTGCCATTTCTCTGTGCTTCTGGAAGATGTTACAAATAAGGAAGGAAAGGGGGATGAACATGACCTTATCCAAAAAGCCCTGAGGTTTTCCTTCTACCTTGGAAAAAGCTGGGTTTATGTTTTCTTAGGGTAGAGGAATGTTAGTTTAACATGATGCCAGTCAAACTCTACAGGTTAAAAGGGCATAGCTTGTTTATCTTCAGTTCTGATATTTGCCAGCAAAGGAATTGAAAAGCAGCTATCTGGACTTCAGGGACAGTATTTGAGATAAAACCTTTGCAATATTTGGATAATTAAAACACATGCTCTACAATTATTTATAATCTGCCATTTATTTTGACAACATTGTTAAATTGCAAATGGATTAAATTACCCTAAAATTTAAGAATTCAGAAATCCATACCTTAACTCAGGAGTAGTTTAGTTTTACCTCTTTCATTTTATAATTTGAAAATTCATTGGAACTGGCATTGCTGACCACAAAGTACAGTAGGAAAATTGTACATTATGCAAGGAAAATCTGAACCTGATCTACAAAGGACCAGTATTTTGTCACTTGTTTTTATCATAGTATCTATTTTAGACAAATAGTGCATTGACAAATTACTATGTTTTAGAAATACTGGGGGCTAACTTCTGTTCCCCTCTCCAGATCAAAAGCATGTTCAGGAAGAAAGAAATAAAATGCTTGTGTTGAGTTTGCCATTTCTTCTGATAGTTTTAGATTTAGATTGGTTTTGTGAGTTTGATTTTTTTTCTCTCTCATTTTTTATTAACAAATTTAAAAGGATTTATTAATTCCTTTTACAGAGTTCTATGCAAAATCTCACCATGGTTTTAATCAAGATTTCACTATCAAACTGACTAGGAACTGCTTATAAGCTACTCAGCCTAGCCATCAAGTTTAGAAGACTCAGAGATATGTTAAAGATGAAACTATACCAGAGTATATTGGCACAATTACCATCTCCTATCACACACTGTGGATTAAACCATCAGATCCCCATGAATTCCATTTACATTTTCAAGAGCCCAATATTAAGACAGGTTTTCTTCAGGCGTCAAAAAGGATGGCACCTACTTACTGAGTTCTAGTTTGGCCCAGCTTCCCAGCTGGAAGAAAACTAAAGTATTTCTAACCACAATTAAAAAGTGAGCTCTAACTTTGCTAATAGTAATAATTGGGCAATAAACATATATTATGATTTCATTTTGCAAGACCCTATTATCAGTGCCATAGATAGACAGCTTCAGGCTTTAAAAGGACATCAAGGGCATGGCAAGTGTTTTGACCTCCCAGCTCTATTGTTTGCAACACAGTGTATGTAGCTGAGGGCATCCTCTTGCATCTTTATAACATATCACACTTGACTCAAAAAATACAGCAGTTCACTCCAACAAATTTGAGTGGGTCTCACAGCCCTTTTTCAGCACCAACTTCTGCAGTCACTTTGCTTAAGAAAGCACACTTACCAATTCCTCTGCCTTGCACAGACGTGTTCATGATTCCATAGCTACCATGATGCTCAGTACCCTGGAATGGAAGCATTGCAGCTCTAAATTCATTGCACCGAAAAGATGAAAGTTTCAGATCAAGAAAACATTTTCATTATTGACACTACTTCATTAGTAAAGCCAAATAATCACTCTGTGTTAACCATAACAGTTTGAAAGCTGTAGGCCAGGCACCTTCAGAGGAAAAGGAGTTCACTGACCTGCCTAGTTCATTGAAGCATTTCCCCCTTCATTATGAGTATTAGCTTATTAGTGCCTAGGTTTAGTTGGAACCAGATGTTTCTGATTTTGTGAAGATAACCTCACTGTGATGGCTCTGAAGCCAGTGTTACCCTCCAGTCCTAGGTGGATGTGCAGTTTGGTAGTCAATTAAGCTCCAGATCAGCTATTAAGTTGTTCATAATTCCTGATCTACACTGTTTGCTGAGCAAGAGATTACATCACTCATGTGAGACACTGGAAATCAGAGTGTCTTCTTACATTTCTATCACACCCCAGTTCCCTCCCAGCTCAGGAGCTTTTCACTTGTCTCTAGCAGAGGGACTGTTTCCTTACAGAGGGACACATTTCTTACCTAGGAAAGTAACTCTCAAGTCAATTAAAGCAGTACCAACCTTCCCATACCTCCTTAATATTAACAGAACCTTCACATTTATGCTATTGCAGCAGAGAAACAGAAATATGTTAATGACACCTCAAAGCAAAGCAAATCATTTACACATCTCTCATTCCCAAATCCTGGATTTCATCACATCCTGCAAGCCTCTCCTGCTCTGACTGGATGCTGTTGGACCTTTTGATACTGAGGCAGCAGATGACAAGACATGAGATAAATAAAAGGTACTTTTTTTTTTCCCCCTACTTGCTTCCCTCGTGCTGACCAGAGAGGAAATGACAACCAGATGCCCCTGTGACCCAGTGTTCCCCCGAGGTGACCGATCCAAGTGTAACATGTGGTCGCCTCATTTGGGAAGGAGCCAAAGCCTGCTCTGTTTAATTGGCCGAATGCTCCCCTACAGCTGCAACAGATTATGGACAAATTCTCTTCAAATAAAGCTGTGCTTTTTTTCTCCCCATCCCCCCTCTAATTTGGGGGGTGTTGGGGAGAAATCATGCCTGGAGAAACATGTGCACATACACACACGACTGAAGTTAATAAAAGTGTCAGGTAGGCAAACAAAATACCATTTATTATTAAGCAGCAATAAAAGACCACATTGATGTGTATAAGGAATCGGGCGCTCCAGAGAGCGGGAGGCTAGTGGTGTCTCATGAATCATTACAAGAGTTTTCTCTGATCTTCAATGCTGGACTCAGTGAGTTTGGGAAGGGGGGAAGGCTGCAAACCTTCCCAATGCCAAGTCCTAAGCCCCCTCTTTCCACTTCTACAACAATTCACGTGTGAGGGGATGAGAGCAGCCTGGCTGGAGCAATCTGCTGCAAAGAGCAGTCTAAGATGTGAGTGCCATCTTGGAGGGCACTTTCAGGCATGGTCTGGCCTGTCAGTGAGCTCTGTAGTTACTTTAAAGAATAAAAAGAATATTTTAAAGACTGGAATTTTAAAGATAAGGATGTCTTCAGGGCAGAAGCAGGATGTTCATTTACCTAGAGGTGCACTATCTAAGAAACTTCTGATGGAGCTGCTATATTTAGCAGCTATTCAACTGGCAAAGAAGTGCTCTGCTATTCATTATAATATCAAGTTTTCACTAAAAAAACCTCATTTTCTGAAACTCTAATGTAGGGGTTTTGTTCCCTCTCAGGCAATCCATGCTGTGTTTTTCTTTCATGGCTTGGCCTTAATCTTTGGTGTGGAAATGAACTCGTTTGAAGACCTGTGTGGGAGGGGAATAGAGGTGCCAAGAGTTCACTTCCAGTGTGTCTAGAGGCACAAACAGATGCCAAACTGTTCTGGCTGCATAGATTCCTCTGGATCCTCATAAAAAGCTTGTAAGCTTTTGGAGATCCATTCACCAAGTGCAAAGTAATATAAAGATTAGTGTTCCTACTTGAGCCTAAGGAAATGTTGTCTTCCTTTACCAATGGCCCATTAGGAAATGAAGTGCAGCAGAAACACAGAGTGGGAAAATAGCTATATATGAAATATTCATTCTGAATATTTTGGGGAAAAAAAGAATAAAATACATTACTTTTGCCACATGAGCTGTTATACTTAGTTGAGAAAAGAAAGATTCTTTTATTTAGACAGTGATTTGATAGCCCAGTGCCATCCACTTGATTATAATCATTAAACATATCCACATACCATACAGTCAGAGCAGTTATACAATTATAGAAAATGTTCTAACTCAATTTTTCTATACACCTTCCATGAAGACGTTACAGATTAGAGCCCCTGAAGACAGCAACAGTCATTCATTGCTCCAATTCAACTGGAGCTGTTGCTGTGCCTTAAATGATCATTTATTTTTTAAAAATAAAATAATAAAAAAATCTGCAGATAGATTTGTTGTTCATTTAACTGGAAGGAAGACTCTTAGTAAGAAGCTGAGAACAAATACCTGTATGTAGGTCAGCAGTGTGTGCTCAGCTCCCAGTAAGATTTGAACGCACTCAGAAGCACTCACTTTGCTTGAAGAATTTTTCTAACCTAAAGGATTAGAATAAGAAAGCTCCTCTCACTTTGGGGTATCAAAGTGTTTAATTCTCACAATTCTTATTAATTATCTGATTTGTTTACTTCCCCAAAAATATCTTCTGAGGGAAGAACTCAAAGAACAATGAAAGATAAAATGAGATAGACTCAAAGAACAGTGAAAGATATAATTGTGGAGATATTTTAGAATATTTGAAATACTTTGAAGAAATCCCTCTACTTCTCTCTGTCCACATAAGAGATATTTTATTTCTCCTTCACTTCATGCATTGACACCAACTTGCATGTGTCCATCATAAAGACAAATATATATGTACTAATAAAGATTCTGAATAGCAGTGGTGGGCTTGGCAGTGCAGGGTTTATAATCAGATTCCATGATTTTAAGGGTCTTTTCCGACCTAAATGATTCTAGGACTCTATGATTTACTTCAGGACAGCACAGTTTCCTCAGCATGAGAATTCATAAGTATTTGCTCTGTATTCATCTCATAAAAACAACCAAATGTAATTTCTTGTAGCAGTAAATACAGCCTTTTCCTCAGGCAGCAAAATGGTTTTACAGCACTTTGCAAACAGGATGCCAAAGGGGTGGGAGTGGGCTGGGCCCAGCACATGCTGACATTGTTCTCCAGTGCTCACCCCACAAGCAGGTGGAGGAGGGAAAAGGGCCCCCAGTGCCAGAAACATCTGCCTCGATGGCTCAGACGTGATGGCACACTCTGCACAGAGCCCAGGGGCCCAGGGACGCTGTTTCCTTGTGCTCAGCTCAACTTGAAGTGTTTTACATTGGGAACAAAGACACTGAGAAATTCTTAGCTGGATACCTGTTTATTCAATCTACCACCTTTCTCCACTGTTACTTCATTAAAATATTAATTATATTCATTCTATATTCTTATCAGGGTTTTTTCAGGACTGCATTGTCTAGGAAACCATCAAAAGCAAAATTCACAAATGGTACAATGCAGAGAATACTTCAGGCTTTTTCCTTTCCTACTCCTGGTTTAGAACTGTTTTCAAAATCCAATTTCAAATGTGAACAATTGAAAACCTGGCTTTGAGGCTGCTGTGACAATTCTGTTTCATACTGGTCTATAATCACAGTGTCCATAAAAGATTGCGAGGTAACCCAATGCCAGTTTATAGTCTCTTTACACATCATAAATAGTTATCTCAAGCTTTTCTGATGTTGATATCCAGTTTGAATAACAAAAAAAATACTGTGGCTCTGTGATATCCCTTGCCTTTTTTTCCCTCCTGTCCTGTAGCCCTGGCCACAAAATTCCGATTCTTCTGCTGTGACATTGGTTGGATAAATTTGGCCAAACCAGAGAAGCACAGAAGTCCAAAATAGTAATGAGCTTACCTACAAATGGTTATCTTGGACACATATCATTCTTGACTAATTTTTTATTACAAATAAATTCAATTTTATGCAAATGCAATATTACATTGAAAACACACTACATTTTTGTTTGTTGGATTCTTTGAATATAAATATAGTCAATATTTTGCTGACATTATTGCACAAAATATACTTTGGGAAGCAATTAATTTTGAGTAATTCAGAATTTATGAAAACTGACCTGTATTTTTGGGTTGGTTTGGGTTGGACTAGTTCTAACTATTTAATTTTTTAATTTTTTTTTTTTTGTGAAACCTTTTCTTCTTTTTATATTGGATAAAACTGTTGTTCAGGGACAGTTTTGTGATGGCTTTTCACTGGCAAAGTCCAAACTTAAAACTTAGTCTATAATTGATGTATGTGCCAGCACAGTCATAATTGAGGAGAACTAGTTCTTTGTAGAAAAGTACAGAAAAACTGGGCAAATCCAAAAGACCAGAACCAATACAATCTTTTTATGCCTTCTCAAAAACCTAGGGAATTCTGCCCAGTTCTGCTGACTCTTACCAGTGTCATGTGCCATAACACCCATCAAGCAGGTTGCTGTACAAATATGGTTTCTTGTGGAAAACATGACAAAAATCTCTCTGTAGAATCCATCACTTCCTGCAGAATTCACCAGCCTATAACTCTGTATGGCCATGAAGTTTTGCAGTGAGCTCCAGATCAATTGCAGCTCTTGACATTTATCTAACTTGAATGCTAGAGAACACACATTTTGGTTTGATTCCTATCTGTTACGCACTAAATGGATCAATAAGGCTTTTTTTTTTCCTTTTCAGTGAGAGAGGGTCTACACTTGACATCTTTTAAAGTTGGACAGACAGTTTCATTCAAACTGCAATGCTCAGCAACCTCTGATATTCTAGCAGCACCCAGCTGCTCTTCTATTGTTAAGACATGGTTCAAATCTCTATTATAAACCCTCTTTTTTTTTCTTTTAATTAGTTTAAAATGCAGCTGTAAAAATTGCTTTGGGATGAACCTTGGCATGCTGAGCTGACTGCTGGCCTCTCTTTCTCTTGTCTGCCCTCCCCCATTCCACTTTAAAATTTGAATTTAGATTTATTCTGCCTGGAGATAGAGGAAAAAAAGCAAGTAATAAAAATAACTTATTCCAAAACTAATAGGCAGACACCAAGCCATCAGATATCAGGTATGTGGCTTGACTAGGTATTAAAAGAAACCTATTAGATAACACATATTTTCAAGTGCCAGACACCAAAATCTTCCCAGCATTAAACTAAGAGATGTAACAGGTAGGTCGGTATTAAAGGTCCTGTATCTGAAAAAGAGCCTCCATCACTAAGCCAGGATTCTCCTCCAGGCCACCAATTCAGCAGTCCTTGAAGCCACTCTGAGGACTGAGGAGGTAGACAGGACTTAAATTACTGCAGCAGTGCCTTTTAATACACAGCTTTTATCATCAGCAGGTCAATACAACTGTGTATACTGTACATGGAATATTTTAACAGGTCAGAACACACAACTGCATGACTGTTCCAGTGCCCCTGCTTCCTCAAAAGGGAGCTCACTCTCCACAGTAATGCAAAACAGAGCTATTAGGAGGCAGACAGTTAATTATCCTGAAATAGGTAATAATATGTGCTGTCTCTGTGAGGCATTCTCAGTGACTACCACACTGATATAATCAGCAAACTACACGAGGTTCAGAGTTAGCCTTGCTTGTGCTGGAAGTAATTAGCTATCAAATTGATCTCCAACTATTAGAGCCCATGGATAGGATGCCTTCTGTCAAGTGTACAAGTAGCTATCCCAGCAGCCTTCCATTATGCCTGGAGCACTAGGATGCACTGCAGAGGACCCTCAAATTTCACCCAGAATTTCCATGCTTTTGTAGATTTAATTAAGATTGTGCTTAGTCAGTAGAGAAATGCAACATTTTGTTCTTGAACCCATGCCCACATTTGCTAGCAGCTATCAGGATTATAAGTAGCAAATAACAAAATGCTAAATGGTGACATTTAAAGTCTAAAAAAATTAGTGGGAAAAAAAATTTTGTTTCTGAAAGAAAATTCCGTAAGTTGTACTTGATGACATTAGAAACCTCAAAAAACATTCTGAAATCTCAGCAGAAGTAGCTGTTCGTACCTGATACACACACACATTACATACCTCAGGAAAAGAAGATATTTCTGAAACTTCCTTGTGGCCCAGTGACATAGTGCTGCTCAAGCTGACTGCAGCAGCACAGTTTAACCTGGGTGATACAGGTAGCAAATGAAAAACAGTCTGCCAAACAACAAATTCAATCATAATCAGCATATGCTTTGCCACAAGCAGATCCCCGGCCCTTGGTCTCACCTATCTCATCTCTGATCACTGATAAAAATGGTTTGCCCTTCTACAAACTGTTACTATGTTCTGCTTTGAACAACATCTGGCAGCAGTGAGGCTCACAAGAAAGAGAACATGCTTCATTTTACATTTTAAATAGAATAAAGAAAATGAGAAGCAATCTCAGTAATATTCACTTCACACTTCCACATAAATAAATAAATAAATAATCCAATTCATAAAATTCACATTTATCAGAATTAATCATTCTCTTCCTCACTGTATGGTAGAGACTTTATAACTCATCATATCTTTCAGCAGTATTGACTCCTAAGCTTCAAAATTATATTTTTAAAACATATTTTCTACCTCAAAAAACTCTCTTGTAACTTGTTTTTGGCTGATGGAAATATTAGTATTTCTCTAATAGCAGTTAAATGCTGAATCATAATCACAGCTAATGCTAATAACAGTTATACATGAAGTGACTTGGTAATTGTTTTTTAAATGGTTCTGTGCTCTTTATACCTTCCATCAAGAGCCCAGAGAATTATGACATTGTGGTCCTTTTGCTATGAAATTCTTATCCCACTGTTGTTATGACCTGAAAAGACAGAAACAAATTCCCAGTCCTTTTCATTCCAGGGAGCCAATATAGGACAAATCCAGGACTTTCATCTTCTATGTAAAATATATAAACTGTGGAACCCAGGAAATAGGGTTCTTTATTTTGTGTGCAAAGGAAAAAGGCTCCAGTGCTGCAGCAGGGAAGCACCAGAGCTGCATGCACTGCATACCAAAGACAGCTCCAAGGGCATCTCTGCTTTTTTCTTTGCACTAGAATGTATGAACAGTGCACCCTATTGCTGAGCCCCAGGATACAAGTTACTCTTAAAGAAAGGGAGAAACCAGCACTTCAGCCTTGGCCAAAATATATATATGTATGTATATTTAGTTATAGAGTAATAATGTGGAAGCTTATAAACGAGTACTGTTGATTTATTTCAATCTTAGCAGCCTTTGAGGCAGAGCTTTGCAGAACAGGTATTCCTGAGGGCAGAGGTACAGCACAGCAAGAAACACAACAAGCTGAAGCTGCTAAGCTGAAGTTCACTTTAACTTTCCATTAGGAAGCTTGGATCAGTTACTCACATGCTAAAGGCTCGCTACTATTTGGGTTAAATGAAGTGTTCCTTACAGCTGTAATCACCATGTACAACACAGTTTTGGCTGTGGCCATTTCCTCTCTGTCAGAAATCCATCCATAGCTCCACTTGGAACCCATGTGCATGTGAGGATTGATTTCTTGACGTTTCGTCAGTGCCACTTCTCCCTGCATGACTGCAGATCAGATTAGAGCAGAAATGTGCCTGGATGGAAGGCATGTGTTCCATTTCCTGCCCCTGGCAGCCACCAGCTCCACAGGGTTCCACCAGCAGCTCGTGTGCAGCAAGTCCCTCCTCTGCCGTGCCCTCACCCAGAGCGGGGAAAGAGGAACAGAAACTTGTTAGAAAACAAAGAGAGAGGGGGAAATTCAAGTAAACAGCGAAGGAAATTTAGGAGAGACTGAGAATAAATCTCCGTCCCTAATCCCTTTTCACCTTTTTTAGACCAGATCAGATTAGATTAGTGTGATTTCACTTTTTGGTGCAGAACAGCATAAAACAACAAAATTTAAATGGTACCAGAGAGAAGAGGGGAGGGAGACAATGAACTCCCATGGTAGAATGTTGACAATATTGTGAATATAAAGCAATGTTTTCTCAGGTTTTGATTATTGTGCATTTTAAGTGATGCCATCTCAATTTCACTTGCTGAGTGGCTGTAGAACAGACTGCAGAAAGCTGGAATGAATCTCCAACAAACTGCCCCAATGACAGCCATCACAAAACTGGGAAAGCTACTTCCAAGCTAGTTCTCATTAATTGTTCCCACACCATCTTTCCTGCTTAACACAAGCTGTTGCAGCCAGCATCTTATTCCATTAGGTTCTAAGAGTACAAATTAACCCTGAATAAAGAAAGACACTGAGAAGAGTAAAAGAAGAAAGCAGGAAAGAGAAGAGAGAAGGCGCTGAGAGTTGAGGAGGTTCCTGAATTAGCTGGATTCACCATTCAGCCCTATATTCTTCCAAATAAGTATCCACAGTCATTGAGGTGAAGAAAGTGAAAAAGGAGAATGTGGGACACAGACATCACCTCATGGGTTTGGTTTTTTCCAGAAGTATTTTTAATTAAAATTTTGAAAAGCAGCTATTTTGTTACAATCACGCATTTGTATGTTTAAAATATGTTTTTAATTAAACCAGATTATTTAATCAACAACAGTTAAAAGTATTTTATAAATGCAGACATTGAACAGAAATCTGAATACTTGTAGGGTTTTTGATGTCTTGAGGACATAGCACATGACCCTAAAATGTTCTCCCAGTCCAAAGATGTAACTTGCTCAAAGCCAATAAGCAGGTTTCTGAAACAGAGACCTGTTGGGCTGGTTTCTGGTACATCAGACACCTCTTTCATGGGACCTAGAGATATACTGCTCTGGAGAGCATCCAGGGGCAGTTGTCTTGAGACTGAGCAAAAGACAGCACCTGGAGCTATAAAGATCAGCTTCAAATCTTGGAAAGAGAGGCAGGGTTTACTAGCTTTAGGTTTATATGGCCTTTGGACATTATTGGAGCATTCTCTGCCTGCACTAAATATATCAACTGTATCTGAGATCAAGGTTGGACTACTTTGTTCAGAGAATGAACAACAATGACACAACCAGCAGAAACCACAACAAAAGGTATCGAGTCACACAAGCTGCTTGCAAGTACTATGATCATGTAAGTGAGAGGGAAAGTTCTCTCCATCATCAGCTCACAAACCAAATCACAAAATCATAAATGAATACCCACTGGCACATAGAGTTAAGAGAGAATATTGGTTTGAATTTATCCCCAAGAAGCAATTCTATCTCAATCTCCCATTACAGTTTGCCTCAGGTGTGCCAAATTGGGTGGGGTCCACAAGAGCCAAATGTAAAGCTGACAGTACCAACCCTCCCACTAAAAATGAAAATATTTTTAAAGTCAAGTCTAGACTGAATGCACAAGGTGAAAACTTTTATACCTCTTTTCCAATGCAATGAGGCTTATTAATCCATCTTTAGCATGGCAAGAAAAGAGGAGGAATAAAGGAGGAAAAAATATTGTTCATTAAGTTAAGGTCAGAGAAATACAGCACTAATAAAGAAAAAGAAAAGTATTTTTGAGCTGCACAATTAACAAAAGAAGATGACAAGACTGTTACACTAATTACATCACAACTCAATGACTTGTGTGCATTGACTTAACTGGTTTCATTTCATTCATTTCCTAGAGAAGAGCTGCTCTGTTTGGTGGACTCTCACTGCAACTGGCAATATCAGGAGTCTTGAGTGAATGGAAAGTCAGCACTTCATCTCAGAGATGGTTTTTCTCATGAAATTTGAAGGACACAGGGTATTTCAAGTAAACTTTTACTTTTCTTTTTTCTACATCAGTATTTTTAGCTTCTGATATTTTTCATGACTATTACATCACTTTGAGAAAAGGGCTGTTTATCTAAAACTATATATGAAAATTAAGAGAACCACTCATGAGTTACTGGAACAAGATTACATGTCCATAATGTGGAAGCAATGGTTGTGCTGAAGTAAAATAATTCTAATTGGCTTAAAGACTTTCAGAATAAATGGCAAATTGATAATAAGCAATTTCACTTTGATAGCATTACAATGCCAGGGATTCTTCCAAATCAATTCCTATTTCCTCCACAAAAGAGGTCTGCAAATAGTAATTGCAGAAAACACATCTTTACTGTCAGAATAGACCAGCTTTTGACTCTGAAATTGGATCAGCTCACTTTCTTCAACTGCTCTTTTCCACTGAACTCTAAAGCAGTGCACAGTGGGATGAGACAATGGGGAAGAGACACCAGGACTGAGGGGCTGTGCACACAAAGTGCCCAGTATGTTATCTGGAACCCTGGTGTGTCTAAGGACAATGCTGACTGAACCAGGCATTTTAGACAGGCCTGGAAAATAAACCAAAATTAAACCAACTTTGATCTGTGGAGGTCAAAAGCTTAAAAGACAGCATTACCCTTCAGCCTGACTCCTAAAGAAGTAAGACTGTACAATATCACTCTCAGTCTGTCAGGCATCTTATTCCTTGCCACACTATATTTGTTAAGACTGAAGTTTTGCAGGAGTGAATCCTTTAAAAGCTCTGACGCAGCCTTTCGTGCACTAACACAAACCATGTGGTACCACCAGCTCTGTCTGTGGGCAATGGAGCATTTGGGACTGAAGAAGCTGTGACATGTCAGAGAGAAGGCAACACCACAAAGTCCTGTCACATAAGAAGGCAAAATTAGCAGCTAAACAAGAGAAAAAGTAAATAGCAAAAGGCATGAAGAGGAGAGAATAACCAATAGTAAGCACCAAGGAGGAACAAGCACAGCCAGAACATTTCTGGTGACTACATGGGCACAGGAATATTTTGAAGATTATGTCAAGAGTCCTCCCACACTTGCTAAAAATCTATAACAGACTTTTTTCCCATATCCCTCCCTGCATTTGCAAGAAAACAAAATGCTTACAATGACGTACTCCACAATCTTCCAAATCCCCAGGGGTTTGCATGATCCAAGATCATGGCAAGTTCAATGCACAAAATAGGAAATGGAGAGATGTCATAATTTGCTTAAAGACAAGGCTCAGGGAGTCTCTCTGCACACAGTGACTGCACCAGCTGCTGCCTTGAAAGGGTGCTGGCTTTCCAGAAGGAGAAAACCCTGCACATAATGCACGGGGATTTTGACTGAAAGAGAGGATGCCAACAAAGCTTTTGGAACATACTGTGATATGGCTGGTTATGTGAACCTCTCACATCCAACCTTGGCACTGAATGTTTCAGCAGGAGCTGATCTA